CCCCCTTACCGTCTTGCGTTTCCGTCTTCGCCTTTCTGTGACTCCAAACCTGGTCCCACCACTGGCTATTCTCATCCGTCTTCTTCCGTTCACTCTTTCTACACCATCCGTGCGTCTATGCGGGCTTTTCCTCTGCTCTCTTTTGGAAGCATGCACGCATGCAGGCTTCTCCCTCCTCCTCTTTTCCGGCCGAGGATTCTGTGCCGCAATGAGAAAGGATTGCCCTTGTGTAGTACGGTCGATCCTTAACACAATAAGGCGGGCGTGATTGTGACTGGCATGCGAGAGGGAGCAGTGGCTGTCGGTTCCAACCCCCGCTGTCGTCCCACATTTGGCGGGAACACCTAACGATGGCGAGCTGAAGCTTGTTGTCCGGGCGGCAGGTGCCTGTCCTGGGACCTCAGTAGGATACGCTCTGCAGTGGGTGATCGCATGCCTACGGACATCAGACGCGCTATCAATCCACACTCTCCATGCTGGGAGGCCTCTCTGTCGGTCCGCCCTCCCTGCCGACGAGCAGGCATCTCTCTATCCCTCCGCGCATACCAACCTTCCTGCCTCTCAACCTGTGCATGCGTAGCTCACTATCAACCTTTGCCTCTCTGCTCTCAACCTGTGCATGCGTAGCTCACTATATCAACCTTTGCCTCTCTGCCTGTGCACGCGGGTTCTGAGGGCGATGTGCCTAATGTTGAAGTCATTGGTAATGAAGACGACCTGATGAATGAGATGGTGTCCTCTCCTCCGAGCAATGACGATGAAGATGCAGGCGCTCTCTGGGGCCGACCGGCGGAAAACGGGGGCCTCCGTCGAATGGGCTCGAAATGAACGTGTATGAGCTGAAGAGGTCGTGTGCGTTCTTTATCCGCCTTCTTGATCTCTCTCCATTGCCGTGAACACGTTTTTTTCCGCAAGCGAGCAGGGATCTGCCGAGAGCGTGTGCTTGTCGGGTGGTGGCTTGGATCGGCATGCATTGTCTGAACGCGAGGCGAAGACCGCACGGCGAGGGCTGGTGAAATAGAGATTGGAGCTGCAAAATGAGGGAGGGGTAGAATGAGGGAGGGGGAGAATATGATTTGATATGTGGTTCAGACCTCGGCGGGGCCGTGCTGTAGGTAGAGTTGCCGTGGCTGCTGCAGTAGCTGTAGCTTCCTTGGTAGGCCAAACAGCTGCAAGCAACAGCGGGCCCGGCAGCAGCGCGAGGGACGAGAGCAAGAGGAGCTGTAGGAGGAGGAGGAGGAAGAGGAGGAGGAGGAGAAGGGGAGTGAAGTCGTGTGAATGAGTTTGTGGGATCGAGAAAGGTGAGGAGGCGGGAGGCTTGCGATATACTAGTAGAGTAATGAGTGCGCAGCGGCGAATGAGGAGGAAGTGATATGGTTACGAACCTGTCTCTTATACACATCTAGATGTGTATAAGAGACAGGAGAAGGGGAGTGAAGTCGTGTGAATGAGTTTGTGGGATCGAGAAAGGTGAGGAGGCGGGAGGCTTGCGATATACTAGTAGAGTAATGAGTGCGCAGCGGCGAATGAGGAGGAAGTGATATGGTTACGAACGATGAACGATGAACCCTCCCGAGCCGTCGCAGTATCAGCTTGCTCGTGCATCCCAGCACCTGGCTGCTGGTGGCGTAATCCCGCTGGGCCAGTCTTCTTCCCGGGCGTCAAATTTCGCCCTGTATCATGGCTCCCCTGCCCTGCCCAGTTTGGGACATGAGGCAACGTATCGATCGCCCGCAGGTGCACAAGGAGCGTTGCCTTCTCCTCCTCCTCCTCCTCCTCCTCCTGCTGCTGCTGCTACTTCGTCATCGTCTTCTCTTTCTCCTTCGTCTCCTCCTCCCTCTTCTCACATTGCTTCTTCTTCTTCTTCATCTTCCTGTTCTTCTTTCTCCTCCTCTTCCTCTGTCTCCTCTCCCGTTGCCCCGCACCTTGCGAGCTTATCGCAGGCGATCTCCCCTGTGGAGGGAGGTGGCTACTACTCTCCCTTCGGAGGACTTACTATGCCGTCCGTCGGGAGCTCTGCTTCCTCGTTCCTTACTTCGTCACCACCCATTTCAATTTCTCACCTTCCCCCCTCCCACCACCCGGGGGTAATCGGCGAACACTTGGCACGAAATGCAGGAGTCGCTGCCGAAAATCCATCAGCTGCACAAGAGATTGGTAGAGCGGGGTTGCTGGATATACTGCGCCGTGGAGATTCTGGAGTGAGGCAGTTGTTAACGACAGAGGAAGGGCAAGATTTTGCTAACGTCGCAGCAGAAGGAGCTGGAGGAGGAGTAATCGGAGGTGGGGGCGTGACGGAAAAGGATGCTCTAGCACGTCTGGCGATGGCCAAGACGGGTGACAAGGTGGGAGGTTTCTGGGGCCAAGCGAGCGACGTGGCGATCTCCCCGCCGGTTCCGCCGGTCCCGTCATTGCCGCTCCGAGTGGGCGGGTGTGGTGGTGCGGTGGCCGAGAGAAGGGAGGTGATTGCTGTGCCCGCGACAGCTGCTTGTGTTGCGGAGAGTCATCTGCAACAGCAAAAGCAATGGCATCAGCTTCGTCCGTTGGTAGGAACCACTGCAGGTGGGGCAGAGGTCTGGGGAGAAGAGGAGAAAGGGGGAACAAGTATGAGAAGCGGGGCCGCAGCGATGGCTGTGCTACAGCTACAGCACGCGGAGGGGTCTATTTACTCTCCGCGTCTGGCCTCGGCGCTTTGGACGACGACGACTCTCGGGGCTTCTTTGCCAACTCCCGCTCTCCCTCTGCATCCTCCTCCCTCTCCGCATCAGACGGCGGCTGCTGCCATTTCACCGGCATCGAAATCGGTCTTCAGCTCCAGCCAGTTCTCGGTCCCCAACCTTCGCGCGACCACGTCTTCAGAGGGCGGAGGAGGTGGCGGAGGAGGAGGAGGAGGGTTGAATGGGAGATCTGTCCAGCAAGCGGGCCAGGGGCAGCAGTCGAACTCCGAGAGACAGGGAAGAAGAGCCGGAGGAGCGACGAGAGGTCTAGGGGTCGGTGTTGTAAGAGGAGGAGGGTACCTGGAGTTGGGCAGGTATCACCCGCAGATGCAGTTCGTGAATGGTATCTCGACGTCGTCGCCGGCGGCGTCGGATACGCGCGAGACGTTTCAGGGGCAACAAGGTGGGGGAGCAGGATGCGGAAGAACGCAGCAGAGACTATCGCCGAGCATGACAGCAATGATAGGAAGTACACTGCAAGCTGATCTGCAGTCGCTGCAGCAGCAAGAACAGCAGCAACAACAGGAGCTAAGGGCGCTGCTGCTACATAGACAAGAACAGGAGAGGCTAGAGAGAGAAAGAGAGAGGGATTCCGACAGGAGGAAGCTCGCACAGACACGAGTAGTCGAAGGATTTCCATACGGCTGCAGTTCGCCAGCAGCGGCGGCGGCGGCGGCGGCGGCGGCAGCGGCGCTGGGTTTCGCAGATGTCAAGGGCTCAGCGACGATGCCATCGAAGATGGCGCAGAATCTGGCGGCCACGGCGAGTACAGCCACCCCGGGAGGAGGGCCTCACAATCCACAAGCTCAGTTCTATGGCAACGGTGTAGAGCTTCTACGGCTTTTGCAGGGGGGAAGTCCTGCGCTACTGACCTCGTCACCATCTCCGCCTCCTGCTCTTCCGACGCCATCTTCTCGTCCTCTTACCCCTGCACCGCCGTCGACGGCGAGTGGTTCCCCGTCTCATGCTGTTCGTGGCGGCGGTCTGCAGCAAACGGCGGGAGCAGAGGGAGGGGGGGGGGAGGTGGTTGCAGGGATGATTCAAGCTCTGGGAGGTGGAGATGCAGCGCCGGGATCTCCATTGCGGCCAGGTTCGGGGAGGGAGTCGTCCGCTCTGACGACGGCGGCCGGAGGGAGTGCAGGACAGTCGTTGCTTCAAGTAGGAGGGAGGGTTAGCCCCGGTCTCAGCCATAGCCACAGGGTCGGGATAGCTCACGGACCTATCGGACCTCCCCGTCGCTCGGAGGGGGGGTTTAGCAAAGATGGGTTGGGATCCGGCGGTCGAACAGATGGAGGAGTTGGAGATGCCTTGTCGCTGGGGGAAGGCTCTTCGGCCGCGTCGGACGATTTTCTGGGCAGACTGTGGACATCGCCGCTCACACCGAATCCTTCACCGAAATCGGCGGCGGGTTCGTCGCCCGTCAGCCCGTCGACTGGTCGTTCCAGCGGGAGCAGCGTGGGGTCAACCAGTCCAACGACGCCGGGCACGCGCGGGAGAACTCCCTCCCCCTCCCCTTTGCTAGTTGAAGGTCTCCGGTCCAGCTGGGGAAGTACCGGCGCGGCAAACGGGGTTACTGCTGGAGGAGGTGGGCTGATTGCTCCGATGGGTGCAGCACTCGGAAGCGGGTTCTGTGTCGGGATGGGGGGTGGGCTTGTGACCAGCGCAGGTGTAGGAGGGCCGGGATATGGAATGACTCTTGTTTCCTCCGCACTCGGTCCGGGAGGAGGGCCAGCAGCAGCAGCAGCAGCAGGAGGGGGAGGAGGAGGAGGAGGTGGGAACACTGTTGGAGCCGGGCGTGGAGATGCTCTCGGGGCTATCGGGTTGAGAGGGGGGATAGGCGGGACACTGCCTTCCTCCGCGGCAATGACCAGCCTGATTGGGCAGGGCATGGGGAGCGGGTCAATGGGCCTAGGAGGCGGTAGTGGTCCCAGCGCCCCGACAGCTTTGGGGGGGGTCGGGGTCGGGGCCGGAGTAGCTGGAGATCTCACGACCGGGGTAGGGCCACCTCTAGGACCGGGCGCATTTGGGTTGGGTGTTGGCATCACACCCGGGTTCTTGCAGGGGTTGGGAGTTGGAGTAGGCGCTGCCAGTTTCATTCCGGCGTCCCTAGGTGTAGGAGCGGCGGGAGCAGCGGCCGCAACAGCAGGGGTAGCAGGAGTATCAGGAGTAGCAGCAGGAGGAGGCGGCGGCGTTCGCCTAGCTGCAGCATCTCCTTCCCCTCTGCTCTACGCCGGCAACGACCAACATCTTCAGCAGCAGATCCAGGAAGGGGGGATGTTCGCGGGAGAGGCTTTCTTGACTGACCTTGGACTGATCGGTCGACCCGAAGGAGGAGTTGGCGGGGCACTGACTGTGGAAGGGGGGGCGCCGACAGGGGGTACGGGTCTGGCAGCCGGAATCGTAAACCGTCTTCGGATGTGTGATCCTGTGGGGACCACAGCCGACCCGAGGTTGGCAGCAAAAGAGTTGGAAATCATAGAGAGGGGCCGCATAATCAGTGCGCTGGACGAACGGCTGGCGGCGTTGAATCGCCGACTTGCACTCCAGTCCCTCTCTCAGGCCGGTCCTCCTTCACAATGCCATCCGCTTGTTCCGTCGTCTTTGGGGAACCAGCAGCAGCTGATGTACCGTCATCACCATGCCCAGCAGCAGCAGATGTATCTTGGGCATCACCAAGATCAGCACGAGCATCAGCAGGCTATCTTACAACAGATTCTGCAAACGCAGGCACGAGAGCAAAGCACGCAGGCATTACTGATCCAACAAGCGAGTGCACTGACGGGACGAATGTATGTGAGGGGAGGAGGTGTGAGATGTGGGGAAGGAATGGGGCTGGTTGTCGGTGGTGTGAGTAGCCACGACGTTAAAGGAGCTGGAGGAGGAGGAGCGGGAAGAGCAGGTGGTGGACTTGGAGGAGGAGGAGGAGTAGGAGGTTCTCATTTAGTACGGGACAACAGCAACAGTGGGACGGACAATCTATCTGGAGGCGGGAGCTATGGCGTCGTCGTTGGGGACGCATCCGGGCGGGCCGCCTCGCAAGCCGGAAGGGAGGTCTCGTCGCGGGGTGGGAGTAATCGACGGGTAGGTGCCCGAGGAGGAGGAGGAGGAGGAGGAGGAGGAGGAGGAGGAGGAGGAGGAGGAGAATGGGGAAGAAGAGGTGGAGGAAGATCTGGCAGATTTGGAGGGGATAGCCTCAACCAGTGGGTGCCGGTCGGAGAGAAGTTTCGCGAGAGTGGAGCGAAGGAAGGGGAGGAGGGACTGACCGCTGCTGTGAGCGAGATGGGGGGGTCTCTTGATAAGGAGGGGGATGCGTGTGGCGGCCTGGAGGAAGGAGGAGGAGACAGAGGAGGCGGTGGGAACGGGGTCGGCAGGGCTCAAGAGGCAGCACCTGCGCTCAACTTCGCGCGAGTTGATGGGCGGAAGAGGAGGGGAGGAATGCAGGAATGGAGATTGAAGCAACCGCAGCCGCAAGTCACCCAGCAGGTGCAACAGCAGCAGCAGTGCCAGAGTACAGGTCAGGTTCAGGTTCAAGCGTCTTCTTCGTCGGGGTCGATAGCTCAACAGCATCAGGATTTGCAGCTCTCGATGGGTGCTTCTGAGTTTTCTCCCCTTACTGACGCAGAGATCGAGGAACACCGTCAGGCCAGTGCTACTGACGAGTATTATTCTGATGATAGGGCGAAGGGCGTCTGGGAAAGGGTAGAGGGAAGAGAGGGGAACTCACTGACTGAAGGGAGGATGATGTTATCAGCTGCCGTATCGGTGGCGGCGGCCGCCGACAGTCATGATGCGACTGTTATTAAGCGTGACCGTCAACCACAATCCCTGTCCGTTGTGAAAAGGCCGGCTCGACAGGAAGAGAGAAAAGCATGGCAAGAAGTGGGGGAAGAGGAAGAAGACGAAGGACTGAGCACAACCACCGACTTTGGAGAGCGACTGCCGTCGCCCCGTGATGAAGGAGGTGATCACGTGAGTCACATCGGCAATGACAACAATGACAATGAGAGTAATGACGATGGCTCTCTGGAGGAGTACGGCCAGGAGAAGGTCACGAACTCGACGAGGGAAGAACGAGCTCAGAAAAGGGAGAGCGGAGTGAGGATCTCCCCCTCCCCTGCCGCCATATCACCGTCTTCGCCTCCGTCGCCAGCGCCTATCATAACGAGTCGCAGGACGAAGGAACTGGACGTCAGCCAAAATGTCGAGGAGGCTATTGTGATCCCGGAGGGAGGTAGACTTGTCAGAAGCGTGAGATTCGCCGGCCTAGACGACTCATGGAAGAGAGAGAATTACCGCCTTACGGTGTCTCGTCAACTTCTAGAGCAGCAGGTGCCGAAGATTGACTCCTCACCTGTCGATCAGTGGAAAGACTCCGATCCAAGACATGCAAGTAACTGGCTGAGCGCTATCAGAGTGAGCCCGTCTTGGACGAAGAGAGGGGAGGAACAAGAGGAGGGCAAGAGGAATCCCTTCGCCTCCTACTCTTCCTCCTCTTCCTCCTTCTCCTCCTCCTCCTCCTCGTCTTGCGACACCAGCGAGGGAATCAGAGATGCAGATCGGAACTCGATGGTGGTGGCGGCGATGGACCGGGGCCAAAACGGCCTCGACGATGGTGATAAGCTGGAGGGTAAGGATGCAAACGCCATGAGATTTGCTATTAGTCTACCGACGCATGCTCGGTTTTTGACGATGAGGAACAACAATTGGGGAGCAGGGGGAAACAGCAGCAGCAGCAGCGGCGGCAAGATCCTAGCAGATGAGCGAAAGGAGGAGGCGGGAGAGAGATCAGAAGAGGCAAGAGACAAGGGCGCTTATCGTCAGGTAGGAGGGGTGGATGGTGTTCTCGTGGAAGAAAGGAGACTGGTGGAGACATCCCTGGATCAACACGCCGTTCCTCCATCAATAAGGGAAGTGCAATATGTGCCGGAGTGTCGTGTGGAGTGCAGAGAGTTGTGTCCTCCTTCCAACTACAACGACCTATTGCGGAGAGGGGGGTGGTTTTTTGTCCCACCATTTCCTGCAACAACTACGGTAACCGGTGTTAACGACCTCTCCGGCAAATGCTTCTTCTTCGAGGAGCGAGAGCATGTGGAAAAGGCCTACAATTCCCGCCTCTCCGGCAAATGCGGCCTCGTAGAGGACCGAGAGCAGGTGGAAAAAAAGGACTACAATACCACCCAGCGGGGGCGGCGGTCGTACCGGTCTTTGCTTTCCACTGACAGCCGGGCGCGTGAGAACCAGATGAGAGACTTTCTCCATCGCTTGGTCTCGATTGCTAACCGCAGCTGGCCGGGAGTTGTACTATGGCTGCATGGATCTTCGTCACAACGTGCGGCGTCGAGCACGTGTCGTAGCGATCTGAACGTGCGTGTATGGGTCGGGATCGGTGGAGGAGGAGGCGGGAGAAAGGTCAGGCCGGATCTGTGTGCCCGACGTCAAAGCGAAGTGAGAGATTTCCTCATCGGGATGGAAGGAGGAGGAGAGTTTGAGAGAGGGGGAGGAGGAGGAGGAGGACGACGACGACGAAGAAAAGGAAAAGGAGGGAACACTCGAACGACGGTGCTGCAGCTGGCTATGGCCGCAACACTGCGACGGAGCAGGATGCGCTTCGTGCAGACTCTGAGGCATGCACGAGGGGCAGTCGTCAAATTTACAGATCGGTTCAGCCCGATCTCTTGCGAAATGTATATCCGTAACACAATGCCGATGGCCAAGACTTCCAAGTTTGTGCACGATGACGAGAAGAGGGGCTACCGGCTGATTGACAAACGGATCGCCTCTCTCGAGATAGATTTGGGCAGAGTGCCCTGGCATCCACGAGTCTTATCCAGTGAGCCTCACCAGAAACAAGTAGGTGACCACACCCTCAGCTTGGGCCTCCACTCCACCTCTTCCTCTTTTTCCCCTTATATTCCTCTTATTCCTCCCTCTCTTAATCTTCCTCCATCTGTTCTATGCCTGACCCCTCCCCCCGACCCCGCCTCCCCCCCCCCCCCCCCCCCCCCCCCCCCCCCCCCCCCCCCCCCAGTCTACCCACTTGGCTTGCATCCTTGTCCCTCGTCGGTTTCTATTTCAGCTCTCTTCCCCCCCCCCTCCTCCTCGCCGTCTTCTGTCTTCTCCTCTTCCCCCTGCAGGCCGACCACTTTGTTTGTTGCTTTCTCTTCGTCTCCCTTTCTCCGTTTCCACTCAGTTTTTTCTCAGCCGCTCTGTTTCTTTGAACGTCCCTCCACTCGGCACGAAAGCTTTTCTCTGTTTGGTGTCTCTTTCTTCCGCGTCCAATCGTTATAATAGGCGTTTGTTTCTGAACAGGAAATTGCAATGCGGGCAAACACACACGTCCCACTCTGCTGCTGGAGGATACAATGCCAATACCCATGCCAATCCTTCACAATGGAGGGCTCCTATGAAAATCCTGCAAATGACCCATGACCACAGACTGTTAATGTGTAATCCTTCTGGACAGATCGGCAACTCGTTGAGGTACGTATGGAGGGTTGACTTCAAAAACCCGGGAAGGAAGACAAAACTCAGTAGAAAATATATATAACTAGCGAAATCGAAGGGAAACGAAGAGCAAAGGAGTTACCAAGCAGAACTGAAGGAGAGCAGAACGAAGTATTAGATAACAATCGCAATTGAAAGAAAATGAAACAGACATAGATAACAAGCAAAAAAATTGAGGATATACCTTTCTTGGCCTTTTGGCTAAGTAAGATCAAGTGTCGTATCTGTTCTGATCAGTTTAATATATCTGGAAAATAAAATAAAAATAAACTCGAGGATGTTTCTCCTCCTGACGACTAGGTTCTTCTTCCTGCTTGTTCCTTCAATCATCCTCTGAACGGTGAGGAGGAAAAGGCTGAATTAGTAGAACTGTATATATAATTACAAGTTAAAACATACTGCGATTCTCCTTTCCCTCCCCCCAACACCCCCCCCTTCCCACCTCACACACACCCCCGCCCCCCTTAAAAAAAAAATAAAATTGTCATCCGAGTACAATAGGCTAAGTTATGAAATCACCCGCTTACCGCGATCACATTCTCCGCAGAATATGTGTGCGCCTTTCGGCTGTCGACATCGTCGAGGCTATGAAGTGGCCTGCATCTTTTATGTGTACGGTGGGTCATGATGATCGCCATCGTGTGTGTGAGGGGGGGTGGGGGTGGAGTGGGGGAAGGGGGGAAGGGGGGGAAAGGGGGAAGGGGGAAGAGGGAGACGTGAGGAGGGAGGAGGGAGGAGGGAGAGAGTACGGTCGAAAATAGTGAACCGGACGTTCAAAGGAACATTTTTCAGGCGAAGAATGAGTAATGACTGAAATTGAATCACAATGTGACTCGAGGGATCCATGAAAATTGAAGCACGCGCTGAGTATGTCGTCCTATGGCCCATTTTGTACACGGTACTATGAATACATTGGGCCAGAATACAGGCATAATGACCGTGCGTTCTACTCGGGGGATGACGGTAGTGCCAGACGTAGCCAGACGTAGATTCATGATTACATCCAGTCATGACCCTGTTCGGTACAATCAACGTTAGGGCGTGTTCCCTGTAAGGAAAGCTAGCAAAGGCAAAGAATCACGAGCTGAGCTGACCTGACAGATCGTTCCTCGGCACCAGAAACAAACTATAATCAGCCTACCAGGACTGGGCGGGGTGTAGGTTGATGCCATCCATTCATAGATCCTGTTCGGTATGAGAAAGGCAGAAAGGAAAATAATAAGGATCTGAGCCGTGACTTGGCTGATCGGTCCTCGGCACTAGAAACAAAGCAATACTAACAGCAGCCTAGGGCCGCGTGGGGTAGGTTCAGCGCATCCCATCGTGATTATGCAGCAGCGTGCAATGCTAGTGCACTGCGCAGTGGAACGCAGCCCTTTGTATATTGTAATAAGATCCAACGGAACCGGTCTTGAGAACATGTAAGGGGACGGCTCTACTGCAGTAGAAGCAACTGTACTGTTTCCCCGAATACAGTGTACGGTCATTATAGCTGCACTTGGGCCAACTTTCAGCCTAGATACGGTGACAATTGCCGTACGTTCTATTCGGGTAAAGAGGGTAGGGTAGCGGGCTATAGCAGTAGATGCGTCAACTCAATGGCTGGGCGGAGATGGTGACGGGTGCAATTCTGATGCGAGTGTAGAGCAAAGCCCATACTATTAGTTGGGAGTCGGAGTGGCTGTGAATTTGATCGATCAAACACTCATACTAAAGGACTTGCCTGGATGCATCTGACGGCAATTACGGCCGGCATGGGATGTATCCAACTGCAATTGCGTCTAATTGTTGGCGGCCTAAGAATTATCGGGGAAGCTTGTAAGCTTTCTTTTCTTCTTTTCTTTTTTTTTTCCCTTATTCTGAAAGGGTGACGACCTTGAGATATCATCATTGAGCTTTTCGGATGATCAGCCACACTTGGGACCGGCCCCAGGCAATTCATAAATATTTGGTTTCAGTGATCACGTTCCATCATCTGGATAGCCATTCACTGTGTTCAGGCAGCCCGATGGGCGGAGAGACTTTGCCGCAGAGTTCCATCCTGGATCTATAGCTTTTTTTTTACTATTATTAAAAAGGCTATTTCTTTTAAGCCCTACCAATTCAAATACCTGTCGAATCTGGGCAGGACGGTAATGCTCCCGGAGTTCAGTTCCCATCTGTCTTATCTCCTATGAGGGACGTTGGACACGTTTTCAGGGTGTTCAGGCAGCCCGATGGGCGGAAAGACTTTGCCGCAGAGTTCCATCCTGGATCTATAGCTTTTTTTTTACTATTATTAAAAAGGCTATTTCTTTTAAGCCCAACCAATTCAAATACCTGTCGAATCTGGGCAGGACGGTAATGCTCCCGGAGTTCAGTTCCCATCTGTCTTTTCTCCTATGAGGGACGTTGGACACGTTTTCGAGATGGAGTCGTCCGTAAGAAAGTCTAGATCCCGACTTCACAGGATGGTTTTCTGTTTAAAAAACAAAAGAAAAGAAAATAACCTGGCCGTAGTTGCAGTCAGATGCATCTGAGAAAGTTCTACGTAGCTTGCGTCTGCCCTGAAGTCGTTGACCGCCCTTTATTTTTCTTTTTTTTGAAAAGGAAAGAGTCTTTTTTTTTTTGAGAAGGAAAGAGTCCGTTTTTCAAAAGGAAAAGAGTTTTCTTTACAGGCTGGGAACCGGGCCCAGCGTCCCTCACATCAGTAGCTGTGGCCCACAGGGATGAGCCAGGAGCCAGGCGCACCGGCCAGGCCTAGCCCCAACCACAGCAGAGAGCAAACATTGAGCTGTTCCAAAAAGGTCCTTCACCGCTCTTTCGCTCCTACTGTCAAAAGAACGACCTCATTTTTTTTTTTATTTTTTTTTTTGTTTGGGTTCTTGAAATCCTGTGTCCTTGTCCTCCGTGGGCCATGTCCCACTTGTCGGCCATGTCCCACTTGCTTGTCGAGGTTTAGTTCTCGCTTCGAGTATCACTGGGTCCCTGCCATCCGATCTGTGAAAATCTCACGGCCTAGTGTGACCACGTTGGAACATGCACGAAACGTAAACAACACCCCGTCTAGTGGGATATGGCCCCCGGGATCATAGGGAAATGACCCAAATTAAAAGGAAAAAAAGAGTAGCTGTGGCCTTGAAGAAAGATTGGCGGTGACAGGCTCGTGGGCGCATTGTAGATTGTTCAGTAGGTGAGGAGCGGTTTAGGAGGGGGGTTATGGCCCCCTTTTTGGCAGGGGCCTTTGGGGGGCGAATTTAGGTGCTATTTCAGGGCCTGCTTTAGGGGCGCCCTTAGGGACTCTGGTTTACGGGATACTCTACGGACTCTGGTGTACGGGATACCCTAGGGACTCTGGTGTACGCGGGACTCTAGGGGTTACGTAGTTTATAATGGGGTGTGTTTGGTGGATTGGAACTTGGAGGTGGGTTTGGGGGATTGCTCTTGCGAAAAAGTCCTCTCAAAGGGAACTGGGTGAGGCTCCAAGAAAGGGGTTTCCGGGGGCTATGGCCACAGAGCGGCCCTGAGGTGTTCAGATCGGATGGGCCAGGATAACAGGCGAAAATAGAGGACCGCGGCCTTTCTTTGTAGGTGGAAATTTTAATTTGTGACTGCGTGGTGGGGGACTACGTGAAGATTCTCACAAGACTAAGTCCTTGCTTTTTTGTTTTTTGTTTTTTGTTTTTTTTTTAAACCAACTGCCCAAGGTGGTGCTAGGAGTGCTGATAGGAGCAGACACCACTAGCATAGTACCCGGGGAGGCTCCATCTATTGGTGGGGAGCAGCACCTGCTGGAAATAGGTCCAGCGTCCCTGAACAATATGGTTGATGGTTTGATCTGATGAAATGATTGCTTTCACAGAACTGATGGTAAGCTGCAGGATGAACCTACAGAGACCACGACACCACAGCCAAGTTGATTGCCTTGGCAGTAATGACCAGCTGGCCGTGAGACCTTCCCACAGAGGAGAGTGCTTGACAGATAGACCTACTCTACAACCAACATGTGAGTGCCTACATGACTTCCTGTTGAAAGTGCAGGGGAGTCCCCGATCATGTAGGCAAGCATACCTCCCTTTCCCCTGCCACCACCCGTGGTCCTTGATGTGCGCTGAGCAAAACGGAGAGTGAGAGGGCTTGGTTTTGTTCCGCTTTTGTGTCCCGCCGGGCTCTTCCGGTCGATGTGACCCTTTGTCTGTGGCCACCAAACCCCTATTATCTCCTCAATCCCTGTGATCCTCTGCGTGAGACCATCGAACCTCCGAAACTTGTGGACCCTCTACCCCCTGGATCTGTTCTGCGCACTTCCATGGATGTTTTGGTGAGGCCACTGAGTTCTCCTGTCATCTGTATCAGGTCTTCTGCAG